GGAGGGCCTCCATAGCCTACATCAGCTTCTGGTGCTGCTGGAACATCCATTATTAATACCAAAAAAGAAATGAGGTAGCTAGATCTATAGCTGCAAGTTTGATGGACTAAGTTTCTGGACAATTAAATGCAGTGTAAAAGAAAGACACAGGTTAAGAGACGGAGGGTAAGAGACTAGAAATAAGTTAGAGATTTTGTCAGGAGAAAAACTTAACTAGGCTCATTGAAGTTGCGGTAATGAATAATAATTAGCCTAGCTATGAATTTATTAATGATTCAAATTTTACATTATTAGTAATTATAAAAACTGTTTTTATAATGTGGTAAGTTCCCTTAGCTCTAATTTCAAAAATTTTATTCCAGTAATAACTGATAATCTTTTCAACCTAAAAGTGAATGACAAAATTATGATGATTAATAATTAATAAAATTTAATAAACTGTATGGAAAGAAGTAAATAAAAAAAAATTTCTCTTAACTAAGAAAAAGTAGGGTAGTAAAAAAATTAAAGAAACAAGGGGTTTGAGGGGTTGAGTTCATTCATAATAATAATTATTAGTTCCATTAATAATAATATACGTTAATTAATGAAACTGATATTTAATAATAAAAATAATTAAAAAAATTTAACCCTACTTCGCAGAAGATGATGTATGCTGAAGGAATACACTGGGCCCATGGCAATACAATAATTTTCTTCTATTGTATGGCCCTGGGTCCAGTGTATTCCTTCAGCATATATTCAGTAATCCTTTATGGTTCTACTTTTGTAGTATAATTATAATGATTATATTTCTGCAAAGTAGGGTTGAATTTTTTGAATTATTCTTATCATTAAATATCAGTTTTATTAATTACGTATATCATTATTAATGGAACTAATAATTATTATTAGAATGAACTCAACGCCCTAAATTTTTGACAATCCTAGTTTCTCTTATTTAAGAGAAATTTTTTTAATTTATTAACAGTTAATTTTGCCAATTAATAAGGCAATGTCAATCATTATTCATCTAATTTTACAGTTTTTGTGTTCCATGTAGGTACATCGAGAAGTCTGTCAGAGTCTTCAATCCTGTGTACTTGCTTGAGAATCTAGCTACATTGTATAGACTATTCTACTATGCTCTGTTTGTTTCAGTAAGTATTGTTATTTTTTATTTTTGTAAAATAAATGTACATGTACCTG